CCACTGTGCAAGGGTGTGCAGTGATAACACTGTAGCATCTATTTATAAACAAACGATTCCTCACTGTGCAGGGTGTGCAGTGATAACACTATGCATTAATTTATATGCACACTATTCCTCACTGTGCAGGGTATATAGTAATACTCACTGTAGCTGGAGCAGCCATTTGTGAAACAATTTCTCATGCTGTTGATTTAACTGTTCAATTTCAGCAGAAAAGGAAGGCGAAAATTTGCTCAATAAATTACGCAGAGTTTTCTTTAAGAAAAAGAGAGAGGAAGTTATTAGTGAGGATACTGACTTAAATCACATATGGGAATTAGTAAACCAACAACATAAAAAAATTCTTTAGTCGGGCGGTGGTGATGCACACCTTTAATCCCAGCACTCAGGAGGCAGAGGTAGGTGATTATCTGTGAGTTCAAGGTGAGCCTGGTCTACAGAGTGAGTTCCAGTACAGTGTGGGCTGTTACACAGAGAAACCATCTCGAAAAACCAAAGAAAAAAGAAAAAAAAAATCTTCAAACATAAATTCTTGTTTAATTAAAAGCTGTTTTGAAGATTTGATCACTGTCATGTGTATAATTGTCCTGCAGAGGTCAGAAGAGGGCATCTGGTATCTAGAATTCTAAGTGTTCCTGAGCTACCAGGTGGATGCTGAGAGCTCAATTTGGGTCCCTGAAAGAGGAAGCACACTCAGTGACTAAACCATGTCTCCAAACCCTCTTAAAGTTCTTCTTTATTTCAAGTATATAGTAACAATAAAAAATTTTGCTAAGTTTGCCTAGAACCATTTAAATGATTACAACAAACTCCAAATATAAAGCTTTAATTTCTAAAAATATAGTTACTGCAAGATGATCAAACCTGCTTCAAATTCAAACACAAAAACCAAATCAAAGATAACCAATAGTGACCCCTGCAAGCCCACAGGCTCGGAGCTGCTCTCAGTGGCAGAGCACTGGTCTAGCAGGCTATTGGTCCAAATGCCTTCAAGGACAGATGTACTGGATTTTTTTGTAACATGAGCTATTGGGAAAATAGCGCAAGGCTACGATCCCAATAGTTATTCTAAACTCTTAGAAAAAAAAAAAGGAATAAAAGAATAAAGTAAAATTATGTCAAATAGAATTCTAGTCAGATTATTTATGATTTATGCAATAAATATTTAATGACCCCAACACATTAATTTGTGTTTTATTTTACCAGGGAACTAATTCTGCTCCTGTTCGCTTCTTTTCCAAGTGTGCTGCTAATGTATGTTGAGGTCACAGTAAACAAATGTTGGTGATAGCTTACCTGATCCACTTTAGCTCTCCTCAGCTTCTGCAGGGTTCTGTCAGACGTTAAAACTTTTGAACTGCTGTGGGCTTCAAAATATTCTTCTACCAAGTCACTCTGAAATGCACAAAGTAACGGCAGGTCTAAGTAATTTCAGGTATGTACACTGCATAAAATCTAGATGGCAATATTAGTTAAAATTGGGCTCAGGAAATCCTCCTGCCTCAGCTTCCCAAAGAGCTGGGAAATACAGGTGTGTTTAACTAACTAAACATGCCTAACTAAAATACCTTATCTGACAGTATTTTTTTAAAAACCAATATACAGGTCAAGGATCAAACATATTTAATCCCACCAACAAGTTCAAGTAACTGATGAAAATATAACTTGAAATATAGACCGATTGGCAGGGTGTGGTGGCGCATGGCTTTAATCCCAGAACTTGGGAGGCAGAGGCAGGCAGATCTCTGAGTTGAAAGTCAGTCCAATTTCCATACAGGGCAGGCAGAGATACGTAATAATAGAGAGACTCTATGTATGTTATGGTACTGATCGTGAATAAGCACCCAGAACTGAAAAAAAAAAAAAGCCCAAAGACAGGAACGAGTATGTGTGGGAATTCATGTGTAAAGCTAAGAAAATACAGAAAAGTAAGGAAGGTGAGGGCTGATCTCTGGTGTAGACCTGCTGTTTCAGGCAGCCCACCGGGAAGATGTTACACACAGTTCCCCTGGAGGCTCCAGGCTCCGTCTTCACTCACTGCTTGGTCTCTTTTCATCTTCTTAGGTGGCGTCCCTTTGGGAGCAGGAGCTGGGGGTCCTCTGCTCTGAGCTCGGCCCTTCTGAGACAGCCCAACGGCTTCAGTGTCCTCTTCTCCGTCATCCTCCGAGCTGGAGGCGGAGTATTCACTCTCGGTGTCACAGTGAGACGTGGGAACTGAGAAGAGGAATCGGGGAAACTCAGCGGATTGAAAGGAGAGCTATTTGTGGAGAATCAAACATGTGGGCTTTCAAGTAAGGGACTATTTATTTATTTATTTATTTATTTATTTATTTTATTGTGTGTGCGCTAGTGTTTTGCCATGGGTGCCTGGCCCCTGGAACTAGTTACAGAGAATTGTGAACTGCCTTGTGGGTGCAGAGAATTGAACCTGGGTTCTCTGCAAGAGCAATCAATGCTCTTAACCCCAGAGCCACCTCTCCAGCCCCAAAGAAAGAGACTTAATTACACTTTTGTCATTACCTGCTCATTTCTTTACAGCTAATTATATATTCTCTAAGCACTAGCTTCTTCAATTATCACATGAGGGTAAGCATACCTAAATAATCTACTGAAAAATTATACTGGGAGGAATCATTTGTGTGTGTGTGTGTGTGTGTAGTGAATACTCCTGTGTGAATGTGTAGGTGCCCACCTATGCATGTACACACAGAGGCCTCAAGTTGATTTAAGTGTCTTGCTCACAATATGGCAGGGTCTTCTGCTGAGCCCAGAGCTTGCCAGCTTGCTCAGGGGATTCTGTCTTAGCTACCGTGCATGCTGGAGTAACAGACGGGCTCTATGCCTACCTGTTTCTCTATGGGTCCTGTTATTAGAACTCTTATTCTCATGCTTGTAAAGCAAGTGCTTTATCTGATTAGCCACCTCCCCAGCACCTGAAATGGACCTAAAGCAGTTAATAATGTCAGTTATACTTAATGTTATTTTCTGCCGTTTTCTCCTGCTAACAGAACGCCGTTTCTAGACAGTGTGATGTGCCCCACTATACAGTAAATAACTGTGATAATCATCTTTCCCTCTGGCAAGAACTTGCTTCTCTTTCCACCCTTGCACCTACACTGGCTATAAACACATTGACCACCAACACTGGGGAAAGTTTTGGAAGCTTCTGAGAAGGATTTCCTTGCACAGGGAGGGCACTGCCCACTTCTGCAACAGAGACTCCCCTGAATATGAGAGTCAGTCTTAAAGACAAAAATGCTAGTGGCAAAGTAAAACCCAAAAGAAGCAAGGCCCTTACTGACATGGCCGAGTTGCTGTATCATGAAATTTGTGTGTTGTGGGATGCTCGACCCCACAGCTGATTCACAAGCCACCGTCATTCCCTCCAGCCTCCCAGAAACAAGAGCTCATTGTTTACTTCCCAAATAAAGATATCGCCAGCTTTATATCCAACAATCAGCACAGAATTACGTCTAGGGGCTGAGAGATGGCTCGGTGGAGAGGAGCAAAGACTGCTGTCCTGGAGGATCTGAGCCGGAGTCCCAGCACCCGCGTCAGGAGGCTTACAGCTGCCCATTGTCACTCCTCCTTACCGCCTCTCACATCTCTGACCTCTGCGGTACTTGCTCTCATGTGCACACAGCTCCATATGCACAAACATAATTAAAATAATAAAAATAAATCTTTAAAAAACTATTTGACTCCCAAAATACTGGTGAAATAACTTTAACCAAGTCAGTTGTTTACTGTGAATGACAAAAGATTCCCTAGGATTGTGCAGAGTTGGAATATAACACAAAGGCATATTAAAGAGGGGTAAAAAAAGAAAACGTCTCACTCTGTGGGTGTAGACAGGGCCTACAGTCTAGAAAATGGGTCACTCTGTAGGTGTAGACAGGGTCTACAGTCTAGAAAATGGGTCGCTCTGTGGGTGTAGACACGGCCTACAGTCTAGAAAACGGGTCACTCT